AAAAAAAAAAAAAAAAAAAAAAAAAACTGTTAATTTTATACGAACCGTTTGCAGCTTCCTGATGACCAATATGTAGAAGACGAATATGAGCATGAGCGGTATGGCGAACCCGAGCACGAACGAGTAGAGCGTGAACGCGGTCTGCCCGCTGAACAGGTCGTTCTCCGGCCATATGATGTTGCAGCTCTTGACGTTGCCCTTGTCCATTGTGTTGGCGTACATGATGACCGGTATCATGAGTATGATGCTGAACGTCCACGCGGTCACCGACACGATCTTCGACACGTACGCGGTGCGCACCTTGGACGACGATATCGGATGGCATATGGCTATGTACCGGTCAGCGCTCATGATCATCAGGAATATGCTGCTGGTGAACTGGTTCACGCTGGTGGTGGTCATGTACACCTTGCACATGACGTTGCCGAACGGCCAGAACTCCATGGACATGGTGACGATCAGGAACGGTATGCCGATCAGGAAACACTCGTCGGCGATGGCCAGGTTGACGATGTACATATTCGTCACCGTCTGCATCTTGGAGAACCGGATCACCACGTATATGACCAGCGTGTTGCCCACCAACCCGATCACGCACACGATTACGTACAGGATCTTGGATATCAGGTACAGCGACGACTCGTGTCCGGACGTGTCGTCGCAGAACAGCGCGTCCCTGTCGCCGGTGCCGTTGTTGTACGGACCCATTTCGGTGCCATTGTACACGCCGGCGGCGCCCGACGGCGGTTCAATCGACGGCCAACCGGCTGCCAGCTGCATGACGCCAGGATATTCCATCGGCGCGCAGCACGCGATCAGTTAGTTAACCGTGGATGACTCGGCGCGCGCGTCGTGTCCAGCGGGTCAGTGCACCGCGTCGCTTCGTTATCCACAGCCGCCGCCACCTTTGTTGTCACGTTAGTCGTACCCGGCCACCGTTACATCGTCGTCACCGTTGACGTTTTCCTGCGTAAAACAAACAAAAAGAAAACCGTTATACAAACGAGTGCTAATCTGCAATAAGTCGCCAAAACTTTCACGTTTTATGGGTGGTGGGTATAAATTATGTGCCGGGAATGAGGTGGGTCGAACGAGCATTTTCCACGATAGTGAMAACATTTGAGATAAGTATGTCGTTGTATATGGGCTAATATCGTTATTATTGCATATCATATTGTGCCGATAAAAAAAAAAAACTTATAAAACTGCCAACTTTTATCGACGGATCTAATATATAATGTTATTATTTGCAAAACTCATTTTACTATACCTCCGGGCGCACCTCAGGCTTGGTGTACGATATCATATTATTTCGTTTGATTTTATATAGAGTGACCTATAAATGTTCAGAGTGAAATGATCACCCCATGAGCAATTGGAACAACACTTCACTGGCAAAACGGTGGCAAAAGTGTACAAATTAGTTGTCAGTGTGCATATATCGAGCTATTCGACGCTCACGGGCGCAGGTAACTAAGATTTAGTCGTCACAGCTGGTCTTAGAAAATCAATTAAGTTCGAACTTTAGCCATAGAGATTAGAGAGTCAAAAGGCCCTTTTGTAGTCAAATAATTCTCAAAAATCAATTCTGAACAATCGTTTAATATATTATTATTGTATGATTCTATGATTGTTTATCATTTTTTTACATTTAGTATAACCTAGATCACTGAATTTATTTTGGTCGACATTATACAGGGTGTCCCGTGAGGATTTACCCATTGCAATATCTCCCGAAATAATGGAGATATCGAAATCCTGGTTTTGTTATAAGACTCACAGGGATAAGGATTACAATTATTTCATATTTTAATTGATTTTAATGTTTTGGTAAAAAAGTTAAAAAATATTTTTTATTTATTTAATTATTTCCAAAAAAAATAAAGATAGCCCCATTTTGTAAAGTTTATTTTTCTGAAGATATTGACGTTTCAAAATTTTATTTTCATTAATTTCCTGAATTTTAATATTTTTTTTAGTTTCAAGAAAAATTTCAAATTATTTAACACCGTAATGTTATCAAACATGTGACCCACCACGCCGCGCGCATTCCCATACAACCGGCTGAATATTATACCTTTCGTGTTCCTAATAGTTATAAATTATAATCATATTTTATTTCTTCAAAACTAGAAAAAATATTAAAAATCAGGAAATTAATGAAAATAAAATTTTGAAACGTCAATATTTTCAGAAAAATAAACTCTTACAAAATGGTTATCTTTAATATTTTTGGAAATAATTTAATAAAAAAATATATTTTTACATTTTTTACAAAAACATTAAAATAAATTAAAAAATGAAATAATTGTAGTTCTTATCCCCGTGAATCTTATTATAAAACCATAATTTCGATATCTTCATTATTTCGTGAGATATCGCAATGGGTAAATCCTCGCGGGACACCCTGTATATGTACCTATAATATAAATTTTAATTTCCCCCGTTTTGAAAGTCATAGCGAAAACTGTAATTATTATCGTAATAACAGTATTTACATCCAAAATATCAATTAACTACATCATAATTTACTATATTATATACATTAAACGTATGACGATTTTTTTTTTTTGTAAGCACTTGGTTTTAATGCCAATAGAGGGAGGGGGCTAAAAGTTTATTGGGTGAACTCAGTCTCTCCCCTCTAGTTACCTTCCTTGTTTCGTCAATAATTCCTAGAAAGGTTTATTTTGTAATACAAATATTACTTTTAAATGGTGCGTGGACGTTGTGGTCACTATGGAACACTTTTATAAACGTTCCAGGAAATCACTTTTAGGGATTATTTGTTCACGACGCCTCGACATTAAGAACAATATTTTKAAAACAATTCGTTATGATTATATTATGTATACTGTAAATTTCGGGAAAATACACCTGCTGTGGTTCACTCGATAAAAAAATGAGAACGTGTGCGTTGTATCGAACAAAAAATTAAACTATTTTGAATTCTTGACTCGAAAGTAGATAACTTTTTTCCTTTGATTACTTGGTGTATTATTATACTTTGTATTTCATTTGCTAATGACCTATTATAAGCACTGCGGTGTATGTATTAATTTCAACTGCACATTTCACAGCTGATATGRTCAAACTAGATTTCGTTCAACATCACAGTGATTGATTAATGATTATACTATTATTGGGTAACTGATAACGACAAGTATTACCTATTATTGTTAACACTCAATAATGACCAGTAGACTGTCACTATTTGCTACAGTGGTGTTTAATTTAGTGCAAGTTCGGTAATAACTGTTCATTTATTATGGTATATCAACAATTGATGTTTTGTACCTATACGTGAACCAATTTCTGTACACCTTTAATCTGCACGTGTATACATAATAATTATGACAATATGACGTACACATTTTCAAAATGCTTAAGAAAATGGATAAATCATTATGAATGTTTAAGCGCCGTAGGTACCTAATATGTTTATAATATAATATGATATGAATACCGTAAATAACACAATATAATAAGTAACGTTGTACACCATTTTCGCGAGTTACGAAAATACCGGAAGCTATACCTATTTAAGATATCGTGAATAACGATGTCTTTTATTTTTCGTCTCCTACACAATTATTCAAAGATATCACCATTTCAAACGCGCACCATATAATAATTGATATGCACGAGTTCTGGGTTTAGCGAACTTTGATCGATGGTATGTGATAGTTATGGACAAAAATCGGTTTTTACACATTTGAAACCATTGCACCTATAATTTCCGTGAGATTATCGCGTCATCTTTAGTGACTGGTCGAAGAATTCGATCGTCTACATTTTATAGGAATTGTATTTATTTGCTTTATAAAACAACAAGAAATAATACTGCAGTTGTATTTTATTATTATTATTATTATTTGTAATTGTATAACATTTAAAGGTGTTAACCTTTATCGATAATTTAGGACGGTTTAAGACCGCTTCGCCGTGGTTATATGCTTATGGGACGGAAACTTTGTTTAAAAAGTTTTGCTCCGAGTTAAAACTGACGATTATTGCACTTGGTGGCGTYGTTGAGCCAAAACTATCCGCAGTTTACAGTGGATTTAAAAGTCAACACACGTTTATTTACTGATGACGTTTTATAATATATTTCTTTTTTGTTCCGCAGTTATCAACTTACTTTTCCCCAGTAGGCTATACCGGCAATAGTCATATTGAAATTTATGATTATAATGCGTATGTAAAAATCATACTAATAATATCCTAATAATATCAAGAACTATAAATATATATAAATATCATTATTTATTACTCTTATTAAATCGTTTTATCTTTTATATTATATCGAAAACAAACTATGGGGAAAATATTGCTCTCTTTGAAAGTGTACACGCTAAATTGCTAATTCCTATGATTCTTATATAGGAGGTCAACTGGGCAGTAGGCATTCTGTATTCCTGCAGTGTGTGTACAAATTACAAAACTAATATTTTTACGTGTATTCTGTATAGCTGTAATCCTGCATCCATCATACAAACATKTATAATGTATCTGTATAAATTCATTCTCGAATTGTATTAATTTTAAGACCGTTTTTAATACAAAAATAATTACAAGTTGATTGATTTAGTATAAATCATAAATTAAATTTAGATTACTCATATGCGTCTGTTGCAGTATGCGTGCCAAATAAATATAATTACGATATTATTTTATGTTTGAAAATTCAACCCACATATACTACAATAAGTAATAACATTTTAATTATAACTCCGTATGTGGTATTGGCATTTTTTATAATATATTTAACATAAAAATGCACAAGGATAATTGATTGTAGGCCATACTATTGAAATATTAAATAAAAAATATTGCGCTAAGGACAAGCAGATGACGGACGGAAATTTATTAGAATGTAGGTACTTGCTGCGTATAAAGTAAGTACTGTCTATTAGGTAATTATATKGAGATAATATGACACCCCTAAACAATGTGTTTACCCATGAGAAGTTGTATGTTAAAAAATTTGATTGTCATATAGAATACATTTTTGAGAATATGATGTGAGTTTTTGTATAGGTAATTAATTTTCTGAATGATTATATTCATCACAATATCTTCTCTTTAAAAAATTGTTTCATCGCGTCACTGAATGTATTTATAATAGCAATACATGACATTCCAGGAAAAATGTATTGTTTTCCAAATTTAAAGTAGTTCATCAAATATCATGCAYCTACAATACACTATGYGAACAAAAATTGATTGCAAGTAGTTTTTGTTTTGTATAATTTGTTTGGAATATGGTGATTAGTCGACAGTTATAKTATCCAAATTAAATTGTAGAAGAATAAATATACAAATTTACAATTATTTAAAATAGTGGTATACAAGTGCGTATACGACGTTAAGATAAATCTTTGTTAAAMATTTTTGGACAAAATCTATAAAGAAGAAAACACGAATTTAAAATGAATGCTCACATCAATTATAGACACCGAGAGATGATACATATAAATATTTTTGCAGAAAGTCTTTTGGTTATAGGTAGCAGAAGAATAATACTAAATAAGTAACATTTTGCATTAATAACTTTTTAGACTTTTGGCAACATTATGAATATTCTATTCCACCATGAGATATCTGTCAAACAAGATGTATACTTATGCAAAARTTTTGTTTTATTAAAGGTCTTACAATACGAGATGTGGTGCACCGGTGCTCACTATTATTGATGGGAACGAAGTCAACGTATTATATTTAATTAAAGGAATTGTTTTGATGTTTTATTTCAATGTTAACAAATCATGTCAAATACAACATCGGAATGTCTGATTTTATTTCTTAAATTGTAACTATATCTTATACACTGCGGTATACGATTTTGTTTAAAACATCTGCGTTTACTATTTATGGAATTAAAATATTGACTATAAAAATCGAATTTAAGAGTAAAATAATTTGTGGGAGTTTGTATCACTTTAAATTCTATACGAAATTCATTGAATTGAAAACGTAGCTTTTATTATAAATATTGCATTTTATTATATAATGCAACTTAGAGATAATCTGCATACGGTTTTTGATATAGTTTTCGATTAAATCTCCRCGTTTTATTTTTGAATAATAAGCTCATGTATTATTTCATGTTTTTAAATCAATGAAGAAAATAGTTCAAAAGAACCTTTGCTTAAGAATAATTATTACGAGATTGCATTCAAAAGGGATTTAGAATCTTCAACAATGCACTAATGCTGTAATGAAAAAAAAAACCTTACTTCTAKAGGCACACATTTATTTTCATAGATAAGTATAAGTTTGGAACACGTATAATAATAAATTGTTTAATTTTAAAGTATTATACAGTAGCCAGTATTTATTCTCAAAAGAAAGTTAACTCGTAAAAATAAAAACCATGCCATTGACATTAAAGGTTGATTGTGTATGTGTAAATTAAATGTAGTATAGATACCTACTATATGTTAAAACTCTTGTGCTTYATATTAAAGTACAAATTAAATGAGTTTTATTATTATTACTATTATTGTTATTATTTTTTTGTTTAAATAGTAAATGAATTAACTAAATAATAGTACCTATACTCGTATATGTCAACAGTTTAAGTGTAAAGTTTAAAATGTTTTTGTAGATTTTAAAAATTTTACTCGACCGATGCTTTCGGGGCTAGAAWKCGCTCCGGATTGATTGGGCTAATCAAAATACTCCGAATTTAATTAAGTTTCACTAACTATTGTTTGTATTTCTGATCGAAGCCGTGGCTGGTATTTGAAATAATACATCAGGATTTTTGATTTTTTAGTTTTGTATAGTATAATATATCGTATTTTATAAGCTCAACGAATTCATCTCAACATTTTTAGAAAAGTATATAACTGCTATATATCCAACTCATAAAAATGCTGCTAGAAACATTTACACTAACCATGTGTGTAAGTCGCAGAAGAAATGAATATATACGTTTTTTATTTTATAAATAAAACATATCTATATATGGGTTTTATAAAATGTGCAGGTCAAATGTGGTTAGAGTATGAGTGCATTACGAGGGAGAAGAGAGGTGTATAGAAAATGTATTATACGCTATATCTATAATACTGGAGACAGAACACTGTTATTGCTTTTCATTTGAAGTTCTGGATAATTTATTGTGATGTTTGAATGGTTGATATTGTTAGTTTGAAATGTTTACGGAAATAAAATACATCAAGTTTTGTTGCCGATAATAGTATTATCTAACGGTATAATGTTCACAAAAAATACGCTGTATCCGAATAAATGGCCATAAATTGTTTTTCCGTTTTTATTGGACCGTTTCTTTCGTACAAACGAAACGCTTAATTAAATCTCGATATTCGGTCGTTTATATGTTATATAAATACATGTMTATGTTCGTGTTTGGAAAACMCATTCGCATCGATAACATTGTTATATTAGGTTAGATAATTTTCTTGACTACTAATTTATTATTCAAAAATAATAATTGTTGACGTATACGCGCGTTTCCTTGTACTTATACCAATTTTCACGAATTGCATCTATATTATAATGTTATTATCTCAATTAAATTTCAGGTGATGAGAGTGCAGWGTCAGTGACTTTGAGTRAAAAATATACTGACAATTTGTTTTCGAATTGTAGCAAGGMAGAGTTTAAAGTTTGGCGAATAAATTAAAAGCATTGAAAAATATCACCATACGCTAGAAAACTTRAATTATATTTTATTCGTTCATGGTTGATGTGGTTACCAAGTAAGATATTTTACAATGCAGTTTTAAATATAGTTGTGATGCCTTCTAAGGAAACATAATAAGTGTATTAGAATAATGATATGATTTTGGGACTTGAAAAAATTATAACCTATTCAATATTCCTCATTCATATTATAACCATGTATACATTATCTTAAACAATAATGTATGAAAAGATTTATCTAAAGGCGTAACTCACTTGGTATATTACAAATTATAATGATATGTTTTCAATTATCTTTAAACACGTAGTATAATGTTATAAATTGAAAATTTTGATTACATAATATGAATAAGTGTTTAGAATGTTTGTGATTCGTAAGCTATTACCTATATATATATTTGGTTGTTGATATTTTATATCAATTATATTTATACTGTAATACAACCGTTCGTTTGAGTTTAGAATTTATAACCCGGGAAATAAAACTATAATAATGAAAATGTRCACGTGTACGTATATTACATATTATACTTTTTAACGCGTCTGTTCGATTATAATTATTGTATCGTGTAATTGCATCATTATTGGATGGTTAGTACCTACCTACACATTCAAATAAACTTTTATTCGTATACACAAATATATTATATCTGAATGAATAAAACTTATCTGGAACGGTTTCGTTTCATTTAATTTAAAAATAAGTATCTATTTATCAACGAAAAAACTTTATTATTGTTTATTTGACATTTTTTTTTTAATTATACAAGATATTAGGAAGACAGAGAGAATAAGTGAAGTGCTCAAAAGTGACATCTGGAGTGGCAGTTAAATTGATTAATTTATATTATTCTTTTTTATGTACGAGCTCGCCCCTTTACCAATTACGAAGAATAAAGCTGTCTAGAGATGTGATGAATAAAATTACTTAAGAGGTATATAAAATGCCAAAATAGGAACTTGGCCAATTGTAAAAAAATATAGGTTCTTATTAGATATCTCGGTAAAAATAAGAAATGCATAAGCAAGTGAGCAAAGATTTAAATAATTTAATTTAAAGACATTTATGATTTATAGCACTGCGGCTGCGTCAAAAAAAAAAAATCATTCGTTACTAAAAATATAAATAAATGATTTTGAAAATATTAGAAAACTGAACCACATTTGATATATGTTTGAAGTAGATACTTTAAGTTATAAAATAATAAGTATAGTTACTGACTCTTGAAATATAATTATTAATTATGAGTGTATGTTATATTCTATAGGTACCTATTTTATTTGTCGATTATAATATTATGACCATTTGTAAATTGTTTAACAACCAACATGAATTTGTCATGTATTTTATATTTTAAAGAAAGTAGTGTAATTACTTGAATAAACTGAGAATAGATGATAGTACAAAATAAAAATATAATATTTTTAAAAATATAGTAGTGAATATGCAGTGTATACACTATACCAGGGGTGGCCAACTTAGGGCTCGCATCATAGTCGTGTGTGGCTTGCGTCTTATTAGCAAAACCAATATTTACGTATTAAAGATAAAATACGATAAAATTATAAAATATATTTATAAACATTTTGGCTCTTGATATCATAGTATTTATTCATGTGGCTTGTGGACGTATTCATGTTGGCCACCCCTRCACTATACAGTTATAGAAAYATGCTTCAGAAATCGTAATTTTTTAAATCTAAAACACAAACACCGTTAAAATGGAGATAATTATTATTTTAAAATATGATAAATACATTATAATTTGTAAGTTTCCATTCAATATATTATAATATCTATGATATCATGGAATTTAGATTAAAATCAAAATATTACGTGATGTGAAGTGTAGTGGAGTTTTAATGACTCATTTTTTATCTCATTTAGTAATACCATCACACATACAATTAGCGCAAACTAAATATGTTTAGTAAAAATACAGCGATAATGGTGTAGCCACTAGCCAGAGGTAATAAACTTTTAACGAGATTAATCGAACCGTTTCAGGTGCATTAATTAAGGGGGATTTATAACAGAAGTAAAATTTAATTTATAAGTTATTAAATAGGTAGGCACCCATGTTTTTTAAAAACTGTATCCCGGTCGTTTTTTTACAGTGTGAGAGGAAGGGAGGGGGTGATTTCACACTTACAAAATATTATTAGAATTTTTTCATTTTATTAATGTATTATATGATACACATCTAACTTTTGTTGATTTTTTATTATAAAAGTCTTATCATGTCATCTAACCATTATGTAAAATAAAAGAGATCAATGGACGTTACATACCTAACCTAGATACCTATGTCATTCCGTCAAGTATATTATTTTCATCAAACGAAGTGTGCCGCAGGTGACCAGCGAGTGAAAACGACATGTGCTAAACACTTCAGTAACACGACAATAATTATTTTATCRCTGTATAATAAATCATTCCCTGTAGGTACCTATATGCGCTTTCAGTTTTGTGCAACTCATATATTATTATTTCATTCTGCGGTTCTCATCCTGTGTTGAAATTTTTTTTTTTTGGGCATGTTATTTATAATCATTATCTTCGGACTTAATAATTTAAGTGTATCGCTCGCTATGATTATTTGGATTTAATTAAGGGTATCGTTGAGAAAAAAAAAGATTGAGAACCACTGATTTAGTATTTATTAATACGAGCGTTAATCAAAACATAATTTTAATATTAATAGAGGCGACCGGGGAAATTTTAGCATTTATAACAAATTATTTTATATTTTATATTGTTATTACTTACGGTAGGATCTAGTGTTCCGCAGACCACCGGCATTGCCTGTTCATACGAGCGAAATAGTAAACAGGTGTGCGATACGCGTACGTACGATATTGTGCCGACTATTTTTTCCTTACCGTTTGGAATCATTCCCGAACGTTTGGCAACCGGCTGCAATATGCCTGCCCCCGCCGCGTGGACTTAAAACAAAATAAATCGTGCCAAAACGGTCGATTGAGGCGAGAGAAAAAAAAAATCATCGCAAAAAACATTTCCGACTACCTTTTTTTTTGGGTTGTAAAACTTGACAGATTGAAAAAAATACATGGGTGTATACGGTTGCAGAATGTAGTGTATCGGTGGCGTACAGACCCACACACACATACACATACCATACGCACCCCAAACTAATATGAATACCGATGTACAGGGGGTTCCACGACGTTTTTTTTTTTAAATAGAACCTACCTATATATAAATGTATTGCGTATTCTGTTATCATCTTATTTTGAATAGGGCGTGCCATATTTCGTGGGTCACCCTGTATCATGTATTTTATGCATAATATTATATTGCGGTTGTTGTGATAATGACACGAGGTCGTCAAAAAATCATTCAACAGTCCTCATCAAAACAATATAACTCGGAGGACTGTTCACAGAAAAAATATGTTTTGACGCATTTGTGTGTGTATCAAAGCGACTGAATACTTACTATATATTTTTAAGATAGTATTCATATTAATAATATTACCTATATTATTATTATAGAGGTGAAATCCATGTTTAAACCGAGAAAAAATAATATATTATCTTACTAATATTATAAAAGTAGGCACATTATTGTACATTTTCAATACCTAATTYATTTCATCGGATAAAGATGCTGCAATAATAATCTTTATAATAACACTATATATCTGTATAATAAGTGGTACTATTGTCAGTAAATTTAAAAAAAAAAGTTACCCATGTAATATTATGTTGCTACCCATGTTATTTTATATCATGGTTATTTTGTTTATTAAGCTTTTGAAATTTTAATTGAATTTTTGAAAAAGGTTTTATGTTTAGGTATTGTTTATACTATAATATTGTGTTGCAATAATAAGTATAAGTTTAAATATAGAATAAATAGCCCGATGGTCTAACGAATATTATTTTAAACGTCATATTATTTAAAGCATTCTATATTCTACATAATATTAGGTACACAATATACTTACTCTGAATAATAGTTTTTCGTTTATTTTACTTTCAAATTTTACCAAAAGAAAATTAAATTTTTTCATATCACAATAACTAAACCTAACCTAACCACAATTACGACACAATATATACAAACGTAGAAATATATTATAATCTCGTGTAACGCTAATAATATGTTCCACATTTATTTAACTTGAAGGTTCCTGTTTCAAGATTCTATTTTACTAAATTAATCTTTATAAATAAGTAATTTCAATTGAGTAGTTTGTACAATTATTTGAACTTGCTTAAAAAAATAATGACTCACTTAAGATAATTGAATTAAATAAGTGTAAAATGGTGATTATGTATAAACTAAATTATTAAAATAATAGTTTTTCGGCGGTTGATGTCGTTATCATAAACAGCATGGGTAAATAATTAATAACTAAAAAGTACCCGTTATGTAATATCTTTCATTTTGGATTTAGAGCGGAGCGATAAATTTTTGGTTTTACAATGATGAGTTTTTTGTTTATTGTATCAGTCGTCAGTTCGTCACCTTTAGGAGCAGTAAAAATATTTATAACCACATTATCCTGACATGCTATAATTAAAAAATATATTTTGGHTCTTTTTAWGTTATATCTACAGAACTCTGACACTTTTTCCAAGTTAAATAAAATTAGCATTGGAAATTGAATGCAAAGGTTACTCAAAAGTTGTTCTTACTTAAAAAACTATCATCGTTCGAWAATTAAAATATGTTTATTCAATTGAATACCTACTCCTACGCAATATACAAACCTTTATAGTTATTGTGYTGTGATTAAAATAAATATTAACCACCATAGAAATTTAAACATTCAACTTGGTATGATTATTATACAATCATTTTTTTTTAAATTATTAAGGTCCTAAGACCTAATATAACCTAAGATATAACGAAAAATTTATCACACAGTTTTGCCTTATTAGTACGTCATTATTGACATTTTTAACAATAAAATATGATACAACATTATAAATTATGAGTACCTATATTAAATATTCATCTATATATTGAGATAAAAAAAATCACCTTTCGCGATGAGGCTACGATATGTCAGAAGCATATATTTCGGAAAAATTCTAGTGATATACAAATACCATATACATACATCATTCAACACAAACATAATTGGATACAACTTGAAAGTTAATGCAATTTAAAAACAGTGTGTGTGTGTAAGAGGACGTTTATGAAATAAATTATATTGCTAGATCRCCGTCAAAAAATAATAATATTTATATTATGGTGAAAAATAACTTCTTACTTCTATACAGATAATTTATTCTTGGAATGTAAAATAATGCATAACAATAATGATAGTAAAATTGTGTTTTGTGTCCATCATATAATAGMAAAATATTTTGTTTTTATATAAGATAATAATAATGAAGAAAGCAGTTAGGTTTTGATATGGAATAAACTACTGCTATAGTTTGAGATTTTATATAGATAATTTATTTTATACAGTCACAGCGACATTGTTGTAGTAGTTATTAATAGCGGATACTTAAAATGCGCAATACATCATTTTAAATGAGAAATAATCGGTTTAAAAGAAAATAATAAATGAACACAAAACACCATTATTTAAATACCCGAAAAAATAGAACTTTTGGTACCTATAGTTATCATATCGCAGTGATCCATATATTAATTCCAGATATCTGTGATTATATGGAAGAGTCGACGCAGAGATGATTTTTAAGATACAATTTTTATTGAACTTTGGGTACAAAAAAAAAAAACACAAACTAACTCTTATTATTTTATTGGAAYTATATATTATATCTTTAAAAATTTGTTGTAGATTTTAAGTAGTAGCTGGTAATGCCATACTCTAATTGTATACAAAATAATTTATCAGTTTTGAGTGCGTTGTGCTTGACATACTATTTTAATTTCTCAACATTCTAAGTAGCCCACATTTCTGAACACACTGAACAACAYCAAAAACTTTGCTGTTTAGCAAAGACTTTGGTACCAAAGTAATGTTCCGGTCCAAGTACCACGACTCGCCGGCCGTCGCATAAAAAACTTTTCCGACCTTCTTAAAGGTTATTGTTAAAACTGAGGATAAAATCAAGGTACCCCCCCCCCCTCAAAATTTGACTTCGTATGTATATATTTATCTTCAACATTATAGAAACTAGTTTGTAGTTAGGCACTATGGTAATTAATTCAATTTTTATACATTACTAGGAGATTTATTCAAAATCTTTAATTCGGCGATAGGTACCTATTTATGCAGTGATGTTTTATAGGTAACATACAATAACAATAAATTATTCGCGTTTAGTAGGTTCTTAAGTTTTATCGACCAGAATTATAGTTTTATTATTATTATTATCATTTTTTATTATTATAACGAATGAAAATATAGAATAAAACTTTCAAATATTAGTGTTTCATTTGATTTCTTTATCGTATATACTAAACTTCTGATGCTCTGATAGTGTTTTTAAATTAAATATTTGTTTCAAAGTTCTATTTTAACATATTTTTTTTTATTATTAACATTATAAATATTAAATATAGCATAAAAACTATAAATATCTGGTAAGCATTTAAATCATAAAATACGCGTTAAAAATTCGTAAACCAGCCATAATACACTCATAAATAGAATTTGGTTTTAATAAAACGAAATGTTAAATATTTAGAAGTCAAAATTGTTCAATTCAATTATAATGTGCTACTCATTCGTAATCAATGAGACAATGGCCGATGTAATGATATAATCGCCACAYGTGTATAGGAAATAAATAGTTCCATTAAACGACTTTAGTACAGAATATATATTTTGAACCGGTTATAAAAATCAATAACTACAATACCGTAGTAACATTAATTTATGTTTCCTTCACTCTAACAAGGAGAACTAGAGGAGAGACTAAAAATCTGGCTTATATAACCTTTTGACCTAGCACTTTATTAGTTATTATAATAATGTATAGTGTATCATGTCCTTGCATATTTCAAACCTAAGATTTGCAGTTCCAGTTCACTGAAATCGCATATACATCACCTCAATTATCCTTTTTTTCATGGTATATGGTTCATAACCTATAACTTCTGTGGCGACTTTATTCGTGTATATAGGATTTTTCATTCTTACCGGACAGGCTGTGGATTCGTTAGGTTTCGCTAATTTCGTTTAATAATACCGTCACAACCCGTTGTCTTATCAATGAAATACATTGCCACCACGCACAGCTGCGTATCACGCGTCTCCAGCCATGAGAGCAATAATAATACTTATATATCCTAATTCTTTCATTCCATTCTCCTCTCATTTATGCTCCGTGATCCATTCTCACATATATATTATCGACCATCTATGGTGAAATATCTTTATGTATTATAATATATTATAAATCACACACACACACATACATGAGGTTGGTAATAAAATGGGATTTTCTTATCCCCGACAACGGATTCACCACCATTCTCCGTCCTATCACGATTGTTCCGGAGTCAACGCCGCCGCGGCTGCAGCTTTTGTGCTGGAAAGACCTGGGTTGACGTCCCGATGGCCGCCGCCGTGACTCGGCCACGGTTAAAAGAGATTATTCCTTCTTCCCTCTTCTAAGTTCTCGTTTTAGCAGCACAATAAAACTTACTAACTGCAGACATTATGTATACGATTACGCCGTAGGGTCGAGTGCAGGATTGGGTCAACTGTATGGGACGAGGATAAATAGGGGCAATCGGACTTTCGATGTCGAGTCACGTTTCCCTATCCACACCGCGTGTCCATTTAAATCCACCAATTTACAGTCTCGAGTAAACGTAAAACAGTGAAAAAATTACAGCTAGCCATGGTTGCTGGGTGGATAGTGCGGGCGAATTAAGAGATCGGTTGACCAGA